GGGAAAGAGACTTGAGAAGATAAACGTTATAAATATCATGCATGTATGCAAAAACATATTTGTATTGATTATGAGACGCATTTTTCATGAATTCGATTAAAATATTTTTCACTATTAATAATAATAATATATAATAAAAAATATTTTTCACTAGAATTTTTAAAGCCATCAAACAACTAGAAATATTCATTTGTATAAAACTGGGTCCAGATGCGTGAAAAAAAAATATTATATTAGATGAAATATAGTCAATTAATTTTAAAATTTGTTTGTTCTAAAAAAATTTAGACACATCTATTATATTATGGATTCAATTGATTTTGTCCGTATATTTGAGATAAAATCAGCCTTTTAATAAAAAAAATTGTTTTATAATTTTATTAATTTATTATCATTATTATTATTATTATTAATTATTAAAGTGCATGTAACATTAACTTAAAAATTATAATTAAAATTCTAATTTCTGTCAAGGGTAATAAATAGTATTATAAAAATTAATTTACAATACTCTCAAAAACCTGTAAGATAATAAAAAAAATCTAAAGAAAAAATATAAATATTCAATTATTAACAATTAATAATTACTTAAATATTGTAACATATAACTTTTTATGAATTGAATTAAAGTATACATCAATAAAATATTATTTTCTATTATACGATCAATAAATAATTAAAAATTTGGATTTAAAAGTTAAATAATTTATATTGTACATAAATTAGCAATAATATTTCTAATTAATAAATCTAATGTAATAAATATTATTATTTAATTATTTAATAAATAAATTCGATTCAATTGTTTACTAAATATTATTAAAATATGTACTATCTAATAACAAAAGTAAATTTATATAAATGTAACATTTAATATAAATATTTGTTGTTGTCTATATAAATAAATATACAAAATCACAATCAGATGTGAATCTGAAAATGTACTATTTAAATGCTAAATAAATCATAAATTGAAATAACTACAAAGAATTTATTTAAGGTGTTTCATTTCACCACAGTATTTTTTGAGGAATAATTTGAACAAGTATTTGAATAATCAATGAATCTATATAATGTCTACTATAATCGTACAAGTTTCAATATATAAAGTATACATCATATCACTAAAGGTTAAAAGAAATCAGTATATCGATCAGTATATTGATACTTTTAAGTTATGAACATATTTTTAATTTTTAATTTAAGAGATTTGATATATTAATTATAAATTAAAAATTGTTTTGACTGTAAGCATTGATTTAATAATAATTTATTTGTGTATTTATATTATGTAAATAAAAACTTACTATGAGGAAAGAACTTAACGTTTATCTTAAAAACAAAAATATAACAAAAATATACATTTTTATTGTTACAACATATTATTTTTATTATTTGTATTTATAAGCAATATATAACTTTATTTACTTCTTTTTATTGCACAATTACATTCATTGTTCATTGATTGAACTAAATGTTTTTATATTTATAAACTTAAATATTTTTCTCTTTTTAATACAAGAATAAATAAAGTTTCTCATTTTTTTGTTTCTAGAATTAATAATGTACTAAGCAAAATAATGTTTATTTCTTTTAAATAGTCATTATATAATGTTTATATAGTAATTATAATAAAAATATGCTATGTTTATATATATTTTTTTATTAAATTATTTAAATGTAATTTTAATTATTTATTTCATTTCTAATTTATATTTACATAATCATTGTTTTTGAAAATACGTTTAAAGCAAATATTTAGATAATGCATAACATTATGTATGTATTTTTATTAAAAATCGTAACAATAGAAATTATGTACAATTGTATACTTATATGCATTGGATACATCATTTATACTATATCTAAAATTAAATAGTGTTTCCACCTACCGGATTCTTAATGAATTTTTGTAATATATATCTTGGAGTACCGGCTTTTGATAAATAAATAAAAAATTGTAAGATACAAATATAGCAGCATTATGATTACAATTGCAGGTCACTTATTATGGATATATAATTTTACTTTTAAAAAAAGATGATAAAATCTTTACGAATAATAAAAATTGATGTTCTATTATATATGATCCATACTCGAAATACATTTATTTATGAACGATAACTGAAAAATAAATGTTAGATAGATTTTATCTAATAATTAATCATTGTGTTTAATCAATTATTTATGAATTAATTATCAATATTAAATTTAAATTAATATTAAAACGAGGCAAATATTGCGTGCACCTCTGTAACCTCCACAGCAACTAAATCGATCCTTTAATTATGAATAACAAATTTTATATAATCAAGTTCAACAGATAAAATTGACAATTAATATACCTATGGTTAACTTTTGAATACATAGAGTGTATGTCTTATGTTACATGGTGATTTTAAGAGAAAAACTGCATTTAATTTTTTTTATATATTAGTAATTATTTTTTATTAGTTTTATTTAAAAATAATATAAATTGATATTTAATAATAAAATATTTCATATTGAATAAAGCTGGATAAAAATGATAATAAAGTAAATTAATAATTATATAGTGATAAAAATGTTTCAAAAATTAATTATAATGAATATATGCATTAGGCATAACTTTTTAATTATTTTTACATACATTTTTAAAGATTTTTATTATAAAATTCTATATACATATAAACATAAAATATATATATATAAATATAAAAATATAAAAAAAAAATATATATATATATATATAAACATATAAAATTTTTCTTATATGCTTTAAATAAATGTAATATCCATTTGATAATTTATTTTAAATATTTTGTTTTTAATTGAATACATATATATTATATCTGATTATACAATGCAATATATGAAGGTGGTATTCAATTATATAAATGATATAATATATAATTCAATATGCAATGAATTAAACAAAAGAATTTCCTTTAAATGCACTACATTTCCTGCAGTTATATAAATACAATACAAATAAAAATAGAACATGCTATGTACAATTATTAAAATTTTTTTTTTGTATTATTAAAATAATTTAGAATAGTCTCGAAAAAGTTTCAAATATCCAAACCCAGGCTTTGTGTAATTTGTATGAGCACTTTTGAAAGCATTAAATGATGCTATTAAAGCACTTACAATAAAAACAGCAACTCAATAGTTATTATAAAATTAGTTGACAAAAATGTTGTAGAGTATATTTTATAAATTTTATCGTTTAATTTAAACTTCTAAATGAAAATTAGAAAAAATATTATACATTTCATTTGTAAATAATAGAAAAAATAGATTCTAACAGTTTGATTACAATTTTTGTTATTTAAAGAAAAATATATTTTTTTAAATATATTAAATGTCTTTCATTTTTAAGAATTCATATTATTAATTTGTATTTCAGGAAGAATTTAGAATGCAACAAAGCTTATGATATTTTTAATATTATTTAATTATATACATCCATGAAATTATGACATATATCTGAAAGTATTTAAGTCTTTAGTGTTATATTTAACTTTTATTAAGAATTCTTTTTTATAAAAAATATATTTGATTGATTCCAAATTATTTAATAATTTCAGTTAAGGCTTGAGATAGTTTTAATCAGTGAATTAGAAAATCTAAGCATATTTTATGAATCCAAAATATAGTATTTTCAGATTTAAAAAAGTCATATTAATTTATGCTGTCATAAAATTGCAGTTAAAAATTATTATATAATCTAATATGATTCAGCACTTTACAGTATTATTTAAGTATTTAAATTCCTGTTATTGACTAGTTAAACAATATTTTTCAATAAATTTTTTTTAAGATATTGGAGGTAACTAATGTAGTGTTAACAAAATTTTATACATATTTTCAATTATTTTTAAAATCGTTAGATTTCAATAATTATTGTTAAGCTGCGAAGTTTTTATTTTAATTCATTTTATCGAAATCCTTTTTTTGTTTAATAATTTTTCTTATCTTTTTTATTTTTAATAATCTTTCTTAAGTTTTTGAGTTAGTAGTTTTCCTTTCACAGTAATAATAGTAATAATAAAATATTTCTTTAAATAAATATTTAACGATATCAGAACGTTAATTCTGTGTTATTCATATAAATATTAATTAAAGTTACTTAATTCAAATATATGTAATTACTTAATGAAATTAAATTAAACAGTGAATTTTAAATTATAGATCATGAATAATGAATATTTGCTTAATAATGAATGATTATGTGATACAAGAGGGCCTCATGTACGTAAATATATATAAATGCATTTTTAATTATAATAACAACATTAAATAATTGATGTCAGAAAATTATGTAGAAATTGAAAAATGTTAAGGAATTTTGGTTCACAAGTGAAAAGCAGCAAAATAAGACCGGAAATGTAATCCACTCTGTTTAAATAGTAGAACTAAAGTATTAAATGTAAATACATAAAATAAATAAAATAAATTGTAAGAACGATACTTATATATGCTAGTTCGCATATGTTATGTATTTATTTATCAATAGTGATACAAAAGATAATTCATGAAGAATTTATGATGTCTATTCTATTATAATTATATCAAAAAGATCTCTTAAACAATGCCTATTAAGAAACAGGGTTTGAGAATTATAGGATTGGGTAACTGTTGAAAGTATTAGCACCTCTATCGACCAATGGTGGTGTACTTATTCCTTACAAGTGTTTTAAATTTTCTGATTGCTTTGCATCTGTAACGAATGAATATACATGAGTAAATTGATACATTTTAGAAATAAAAGTAAATAAAAGAAGAAAAAATAAGAAAACAAAATATTTTATGAATTTGCAATAATATTGAAGAACATTTATTTTATTAATACTAATTAAATAAAGATAACAGTGTAAATTTAGCTTATTGACACTTGCGTATATGCATGCAATTCTACAATCCAACAACATAAAAATACTGCATTCTTTCAACAAATATACGTATAAATTATTTTCTGCACCTTTTTTTTATTAATGTAGTAATAATTTTAATTATAAATTAAAACAATATAAGTAAAGCAAGGAAATAAATACCCGTCGAAAAAGAGAAAACAAACAGAAACAATTACCGTATGTAATATACATGTTCCTTTCTTTTTCACTTTCATCCAACCGCGCAAGCAATATGAACCAAAAGTAATGTGCGCGCGCTCTTTCCATAATTGTAAGTGCCTGAACGTAGACGGCGTTTCCATCGGTCCCAGTCATCGGGATCGGGCCGATCGGTCGACTGAAGCGTGTCCCGCTCTCCTCACCTCGTCTAGGACTCGCTCCTCGAGAGCAGGCAACCGAGGGTTCGTCGTGTTTTTCTTTTCTCACGTGTGTGTTCCTTTATTTTGTATAAATAATTATCCTTGTAAAATTTTGGCTAAATGTTGATTTAAAAATAAAAAACGAAGGCTGAGAAGACAATATATACACGAGTGTTCAGTGCAAGATAAACGAGAGCGTTGTTAATTGCCACACGCGAAAGGAAGAAGGCAAAGTAAGTGAACAACGATTTTCGTGCGATATCACATTATTTACAACCGCATGTGTCTATATTCAACAATATGTAATAAAACGGGGCATACATATATTTATACATGTAAGCGACCGAACATTGTAACACCAAAGAAATAAATGAAGCTGCTGGTGCTACTCTGTGTATTACTATTAATTTTTGTTAATTTATCTGTCGGTTCTTAATATATCTTTTATGAATAATACAGCGATAATTGCATGAAAAGTAGAAAAAATGGAAAAAGAGAACGCGCGCCAATTTTTTTTACAACTGTCGCCTCTTTGCATCTTGTATTTCTCCAGCACCATCATTTTCTCTTTCTATACAGTTCTACACTGTGTATGAAGTGCAATTTGTTAATTATTCTTTAAAGGAACATAATTAAATCAAATTTTATTCTTTGAATTTCTTCTCGAAGAAAATTTTAATGCATTTATGAACAGTAAATTTGCACACTTAGCAAATAAGGGTCATTTCTCTTAGTTTGCGCACATAAGAAGAAAGACAAAAAGACTTGGAAGAGAAGGATAAAAGATGCAACAGCAGCGCGACGGTGTTACGTCACGCGCCAGCGATTGAACGAGATATATATATATAATGAAACGTCGACGAGATATGAAGTGATAACAAATTGAAAGAGAGAGAGAGAACCTGAATTTTATGTACTTCCTTGCAATATGAGCGTTTTTTCAAATGTAATGTGTCTTTTGTCATATATTTTTGTATGAAATATATATAGATTTTAAAGCCATGTCTGTAATCTACTTTAATATAAATGAGTAGTATCAAACATTCATCTTGATTCTTCTAAGAATTATTAATTTATGTATTTAGTAATTACCGTCATATTAACTTAATAAAAAATTATAATTAATACATGAGTGAAATACATGTTGTTGAAATATAACTATGTATTTATCTCAAAAAAGCATTAACTAGTGAATAATTGTCAAAATTTTCATGACATGTTACAGATTGTGCGCATCTCATTACAGTCTGAACACTTAAAGAAAGAACTATCAGTGATCCACTGGATTTATTAGTGTCTTTTAATTTAGAAATTATATCAAACAGTCCTGATTACTATTGCTCCTCAGTAAATAAGTGTTAAAGGTATTCCATTAGCTGCAGTTTAAGAGGAATAGACACCTCTGATATAAATATTGTGTTTGGCAAGTTTTTGAAAAATCGTCAAAATTCCGGTCCCCACAAGGAACCCAGAAGGCCCCCAACAAACTGGTGGGAGAAATCCACTGACTTCTGGTGACGATAACTTGTATAATAACAAAATGAACAATAAAAGAAAGAATCGTTCAAATCCAACTAGGTATGCATTCTATTTATATACTAAATTTTCTTAGTATTAACATCTATGATAATAATAAATAAATCTTTTAAAACAAAATATTAAAGAGTACAATAAAAGTACAATAAAACAGATTAAAGAATAAAAATTAGTTGAACTGTAAATTACAAATTTCGATCTATACATTACTTAAATTTATTTATTAAATTTGTATTTATTTATTTAGATAACTATAAATTAGTCTTATTTGAAATTATATTACTCGATTACATTATGAATGAATAATAAATATTTTTTTTACTAGCGCAATTATAATTTTAGTTCATTTTATAAAGATATTAAATAAGGTATTAATGTATATTATGAAATTGAGTGCATAATTTAAAGTAAAACGGAATTACTTAAAATTTCAAGATTAGTTATAAAAAAATTATTTTAATAAATTTTAGATCCCCGCGGGCACGGGGTCCGCAAGAACGTTGTGTTGTTGCAGATGGAGTATACAATAATGCTCATTTTATGCATGCAATCACAAGTCACGTAGGCAATATTGTACAGGTAAAAATAATTTTTTATGATAACGACATGCATTATTCATTTGTTATAAAGATATATTTTTTTATAGATTCAAACTCAAAATGGTTCAATATATGAAGGTATATTTAGAACTTTCTCTAGTCAATTCGAATTAGTTTTGGAAATGGCTCACCGTGTTGAAAATTCTGGTAAAATAAGTGTAGACAGTGTTGTAGAAAAATTGATATTTAAATCACAAGATATTATTACATTTTCTGCAAGAGATGTTGATCTGGACTATGCAACTAGGGATACATTCCAGACAGATACTGCCATTAGTAAATTTAATGGTCTAATCAAAGGAGAAAAAGAGCTTGAACCTTTTTTTCTGGCTGTGCAAGATGATATTGCTACAACAAATGGAGCTAATTTAGAGTTAGATCGTACTGCTGTGAGTTTATACAATTGATAAACAATAATAATCTGTATTTATATTTAATATAAATTTTTATAATGATTACTTTATAATTTCTTTATCATGAAATTTTATTGTAGAATGGTTGGCCTGCTGATGATATGTTTCGAACAAATGAACAAACGTTTGGCATTCAATCAACATTTGAGCCAAATTTAAGCCAATATACGGTTATACTTCAATGTGAAGATACTAAAGATTATAAAGAACAAGAAAAGAAAGCAGCAAAGATAGCTAGTGAAATTGAATCCCAACCAGATCACAGAGTACGATTGGAACTTGAAAATGGTGATGAGGAAGAAAGATTTGCTGCAGTTATACGTACTAATGACTCCAATTATGTAAGATTGTTTTTATTTAAAGTGAAAAAAGCAAATTTTATTTAATTATTTAGTGTTAAAATTTTAAGTCTAATTATGTTTTTCATTTTTATTTTTTATATTCATAAAACTACTAATACTTTTAGGGTCGATCTAATAATAACGAAGGTAAATATGTACCACCTGCAAAAAGGAAAAATGGCAACACTGGTAAATTAATGCGAACGACGCCTCCACCACAGTCTCCAGGTTCGGCGTCAAACAAAAATTTATTTAATCAGGCTCCGCCATCTGCCAATGCTACTGTAAGCGTTCCTCCAACAAATAACATTCCAGTAAGCATGTCGTCGCATCCTCCCGTGATACAACATCCAGTACCCCTAAATATGGGTGGTATACCAAGTGGAGTCGTCGTCCCTTACAATCCTCCGCCATTTGTTCCTCCACCAACCTCTCAACCTCCACCTCCAAATGTTGCAGTTCCTGGTGAGTTATATTAAAAACAATTTTATATTCTAACTTACAAAATTTCAAAGTAAACATATCAATTTCAATATATTCAGTTATAACTTCCAGTATCATTTTATATTTAATTTTTGCAAACAATAATTTTTATATTTTTGTTTTAATTAAAATCATGAAAATGTAATTTCTATATTGTATAAAAATAATTATATAAAAAATTGTTAATTTTAATAATAATTTAATGTTTAATACGTTTGTAATAGTATATATAATAATTAATAACTATAACTATAACTAATTAATGAAAATAAATTAATGAAAACAATAACTAATTAATGAAAATAACATCTTTCATTGAAAGGTACCATTCTTTACGAATTTCAAATTTTATATAACTAAAAAAAAGCTAGTAGATAAATTATAGTAGATAAATATAATAAATAATATAATTAATAATATAATTTTATTATTAATTATATAAATTTTAATATAATTAACAATTATTTTAAAAATGCGTTGATTTGTAATTATATGAGTTTAGCATTAATGTTATATACTGATATATACACATTTTTTTATACTGATTTTTCTGTTTAATACATTTTCATAATATAAAAATTATTATTATATGGGTTTAAATAATAAATCTTGTTTTATTTTTTTATATAATATATGTGTATATATATATATATATATATATATATATATATATATATATATATATATTAATCTAAATGAAAATATAATTTATATATAAGATTTATCAATAGTTCAATTTTATAATTATTAACTAATTTCCTTAATATATTTGTCAATATAAAACTTTATATAAAATATATTGCATTCAATTATTTTGCTAAAGTAATAAAATTATATTGTTTTAATTCTTAACTAATATCTAAGAATAATTAATTGTATAGAAATTAACAAACAAATAATTGATTTTTAATTCATTTATGATTACAGTAATGTCTCAAGGTCAGCCCCCTTCCCAAGTAACATCCAATCTACCTCAAGTACCCTTTTCATCACAACAGCCACAATCTTCCATGAACAAAATGAATATGGATAAGCGTGAACGTCCAAGCAGACAAGTATATCAATCTGATAAAGCACCACCGGCACCCTTCCCTGGAGTTCATGTAGTACCTCAACATTCACAGCAACCTACTCAATCACAACCACCAACCCATGTTCCCATGCAACAATCTTCTATGGATGGCTCTCCACAGATATCAACAAAAGAACAGCAACATCGAAAGGTGCCAACACCAAGAGGAAGAGAGGAACAGCACTCTGAGCTCAGACAGTTCGCCTCAGATTTTAAATTAGCTGATCAACAGACGACTCAAGAGGTACAACAGCAACAATCAACACTTGGTAGAAAACCACATCCTCAAGAAGCACATATATCTCAAGTTCCACCTATGGTGAGATTTTCAATTATGAATAAAATATGAAAGGATGAATCTCTTAAGACTTATTATTCTTTATTTCATAATACTTTTTATTTAATAATTATAACTTTAATAATTTTTTATTAATACTTCATATTTATTATAAATATTTTCTATATATATATATATATATATGTGTGTGTGTGTGTGCTTCCAATTATTAATCAGTAAAATATTAAATAATTGTATTGTATAGTTAAAACTTTCTAGAGATTTATCTTTTTAAATACATTGAATGAATAATTTGTTATTAACATCAATTTTTTTCTGATTTTTTTTTTTGTTTATTATGATTTTTAGTTACCAGAAGATGTGTTATCAAATGCTCCAATGAATGAATCTATAAAAAAAAAAAGATTTCATAAATAATTTTAATATAATTTATATACAAAATCATAAAAAAGAATTAACTTTGTATACGCGATTATTGAAATTGGAAGCTAGTAATGTTCGAAAGATCAACACCAGTTATGAATGAATCAGGAAGAAAGATCATTTTGAAATTACTTTTTTTTCAACATATTAACTTTTCTAATAGATTTAAATATTTGACGTTTGAATTTAACAGCTTTCATGAAAAAAAATTTATAAAAACAAATATTTATGTAGTTATAAATCATAAAAATAATTCTTAAAAATATTAACTTCCAATTATCAAAGAAATTTTATGTAAGAAGATAAAAAATTAGATTTTAATGTAATAACTGTGATAGAATACTTTCATGAAAGTTCTAATCGTTAAATATGATTATAGAATGTCAATGTAAGTGTATTTATAAGAATAAAATTTTTTTTAATTTTTATTTGTTTTTTTTTTCTTTCTTAAATGTTTGTAAGTTGTCCGATTTACTCCTCTAGCAAATAACCTTAATAAAATATTACATTATTGATTTCAACCATTTATTTAAAAATTTGAATGTTTAAATGATTTTAATTACACTGATGAAAGATAGCTAAAAAAAATTCCAATATATTTTTATTATTAATTTACATAAAAAATAATTAAACCACAGGTTTTAAATATTTTTATAGATTCATAAAAAATGCTTTATTCATAATTTTTGATCTTTAAAGAAAGTATTTTATAAAAAAGGTATTAATTATCACTATAGGATCATATCTTTTTAAAATTTTTTTAAATAGACTGGCAATCTCAAGACTAATCATTTGTTGTAAAAATTTATAATAGGATTAAAAAATTAGCTGGTAATACTTACAAATTATATATGTAGATAAATGACTAAAAATATAGACTATAAAAAATTTTTTTTTAATAAACTAAATGAATTTTTTATTATAAATATCTTATTTATATTATTTGAAAAACTTTTTTAATCAGGGTCCATCACATCATCAACAACCACATTCTCATAACTCAACATCACAAACAGTACCTCAGCCGTTACCTCAACAACAGCAATCTTATCAACAACAAACCCATCAGTCACCAATTCAGGAAGAGCTAGTCGTGATAAATAAACCTCCACCATGTCCAATACCTGTTCAACCAACAAGTCCACCTCAACAACCTCAGCAGCAAGTACAGACACAAGTTCCATCTTCACAGTCATCACAATCTCAGCCACAAACTCCACAAGTTCCTGTACTCCAACAAACACAGGAGGATTCAAGCATGGAGAAGATAACCGCTTCTTTTAAGAAATCCAAATTAAATCCAAATGCTAAGGAGTTCAATCCAAATGTTAAACCTTTTACTCCTGTAAGTAAAAATTTATAATTAAATTTAAATATATTCAGTTAACTAAAAAATACAATTGCATTGTAGAAACATTAGTATTATAAAATAAATTTAGAATTAAGTTTGAATTGAAAATAAATGAATATGTTAATTGTTAATTTTATAATTGAAATATATTAAATGAAATTTTTGAAAAAAATTTCACTTAATTATTATGAGTTTTATATTAATGTTTCATTCAGAGATCTCCTAGTACACCAACTCCAAGTAGACCTCATACACCTCAAACACCACAGTATGCAGCAGCTACAATGTCATCTGCTGTAGTGATGCCTGCATTTATAATGCAGAGTCAACCACCTACAGCATTTACTCAGCCTCCATCTCAGCCAGTAACAAGGTTTCGAAAGAATCAATATCTAGGTATTGTAGCTAGTTTTTATTAATTCATTAAATAATGATTAAATATACTTTTTTAATATAGTATTTAATACGTTTTTTACTCTAATATGCAGTTTATTAAATTATAATTATACTTGCAAATTAATTTATAATATTAATTTCTTTTATTTTATGTTGAATAATAATTACTATACATTAGTTTTTAATTGTGAGAAATATTAAAAAGTAAAATATGCCAGCTTCATATTAAATATTACAAATAAATTTAAATACAATTTATTATAATTGTGCAGTATATAAGAGTACAATAAATTCAAATAATGAAGAGTTACAAAACAAAACACTTAATTTTCAGCAGAGATGAATGCCATTTCTGAATTTTTACATATTTTTATATTCGGTCATCTATAATACAATCCTTCAAATATCTATTTTTCAAAGACTTAAGCTTATATCTGAAAGGATATTTGATCTTGTCAAATATTGCACTTACATTTTAGTTAAAACAGTACAAATAAAGTTTTATTATTTTTCAATTAAGTTTACAAATTTATTTGTGATCTAAACTTGTGATTTATAAAAAATTTTCAATCAATATCTCCATGATTTTAGTCAGCTATCTGAATTGGTGCTAAATATATCAAGTATTATATTATGATGTAAAGATACTTTGCTATTCTTTTATTTTTTATTAATATTTGTTCATGCTAGGTTTGAATATGTGTCTTGTCAACTATTTAAACTACAAAGGTCATTAAACACTATATTATTGTATATTATGTAAAACATTATGTAAAATACATAAATATAATATTGATAAAATATAGTTTTTTCCTACTATCTCATAAATACTCTGTAATTTGTAGATTTTCAACTATATACTTAATTATGTCATTTTTGGTTGTTAAAATATTTACAAGTGCTTAAAAAAATACAAATTTTCTTGATATTATTTGTATATACTCTAAAAAGTTTCTAGTAACTCGATTTTGTATTATACTTGTGGAAAATATTGACCATGGCCACATTTGATTACTTTTTACTCATTCCAATAAACAAATACTTCAAACAGGTATTTTGATCAAATACAACATTGTGTCAGGAGCTCTTAGCTCATGAACTACAACTTCCTTTAACTGATGTTTTTATTAATTTCATTGTCACTTACTCCAATATGACAGTGTTGTTACAGTGTTGTTCACATTAAAATCTACTACATACCTTACTCCAACACCACTCACTTTATCATTAACAATGTTATTATAACTGATAATTCTGGTCATTTTACAACTTTAACTTCTTTATCTTGTAAATATAGTTTTATATATTGTCTATTCAGTTAATTTCTTTTAACTTACCAGTATTTTATACCATAATTAATTATTTAAATATTATGTTGCAAATATCAAGAATTGGTGCTCATTAGCAATTCAGTAACATTCCTGTACAATTTTTCAGAATATTATTCAATAATGTTAATTAAACTTCATCTTCATTCATTACAAATTGGTCTTTTTTATTCACATATATTATAATTTCGATTAATTAGTGAAACTTCTAATAATTAATTTAATATATAAATCTATCTATATATTTAACTACTAGAGTTGTAAGATTCTCATAAGAATTTTAACAATAGTATTTTTAAAACACTGCTAAAGCTAGTTTATTTAACCTTGTAGATTTAATTTTATTCAGTATTTCTAATGTTTTTTTGGCTTTCTAATAATTTATTTTTCATATTAGTTCTATTTGTCTTAATGTTTACTTCAGTTTATAAGTAGATTTTGTCCACTTCGATAGCAATACTTCCAGCATAATATTTGCATATAGTCCATCTAAGTAGCATATATATTTCATAACGTTACTAATTTCTCTTTGATATAGTAAGTTATCAGCAACAAGGATACTAATCTTCATCATTTATCATTTAATTTTATTTATCTCATCCACACATTGTCAAAAGCGCATCATGTTAAACTGTACTCTAATCACAAATTCTGTATTAAAAAAATTACCATACTTAAGCTTCTAAGAAGCAGAGTAAGCTTCTTAGAATTTATGCAATAAGAATGGGTACAGCAAATTCAAAGTGCAGAACAAAAAACGTAATATAATCAGTGCTGTTTCCCATCTATCCATACCCTTCCAACTTTCAGTGGTTTGTTTGACAGGATTCAACGACAGAATATATCAAAGACTTTGTGGGCGTGTTAATAACGGATAACTTGAATTCTTTTCCGACGAATGTCCAACTTAATTTATGACGTATATAAATTTGAGAACTTAAGATATACTTTGAATGCAATGCTAATATTTCATAGATAAATTATTTTTGTTTATTCATAAAAAGGTTAACTTGTAAGAATAACATATAATAAATAACTTTATAAAACGTCGTGATATACCCAATTTAAAAAAAAGAAATTAATTAGATAAAAAAACGTTGAGTGTCTTCATTAATATGAAATCGACATTACAACTAATTTAACCTTTTATATTTCAGTCCCAATGATGCAACATCGTGCACCAGATGTAGCATCACAAATGCAAGTAGCTGCTGCAACGGGACAACCACTACTCGCTCCAGCACCTTTGCATCCACCCTTCCAACTGCCTTATTCAGGTCAACCGACATATGGAGCACAAATGGTGAGGATGGTGCCTGCACCACCACCACCACCACATATGACAGCTAATCCATATCACCACCATCATGAATCACCAGGACCTCAAGCTCCTGGTATACAATATATGAATCCACATGCACATCCCCATCCACATGTGAGCCAACAGCAACCAAATCAGACTCCATCACCAGCGAATCCCAATCCCCCGCATACACCTGGTACTTACAATCCACCAGGTAATATGAAATTTCATTAGATATTTATCATTAAAAAAAAAATTTTAAATTAAGAACAAACTAAAACTAAGAATAATTTGTTTAAACATACAATCTACTAGTTTTAAATCCTTTATTAACTTCAATAATTGCATGAAAAAATGAACATGTCCATATTTATTATTAAATTTTTTAAATAGATAATTAAAATTGGTAAAATTACGCATATTTGATTAAACATATAATTTTATCTTTTTTATAGGTACACCTCAACCATCATACCCACAACCGCCTCCACAAAGTCATGCGCCAACGGGATATCCTATAATGTGCCCAATAATTCCACCACATATACCTATACCACCTCAGCATATGCAATACATACCTCCTCAACCACCACCGGGTCAACAAACTATACCAGTTATCTTACCCCACACTCAGTAGTCCCGCGCTATCCCGGGCAAACAGCTGCGACAGAGCCGACGACATGGATATCCTTAAACATTCATTTGTAAAGATGAACAAACAAACATGATGAATGTTTACTGCGATATTATCGAACGGATCTGCTAGTGCCAGGGAGTGTTAGATAAACTAATAAAACTATTAATATAAATATATACTTCAGAAGTAATAATACAACGACGATAATGGAATAAGCCAATGTTGCAAGGCTACTTTAATCAGTGTTGAGTAACAATGGTTGAAACATAAATTCTTTATATTTTCTACATCGATATCCATGTTTAATTATCTTCTTGATCATTGAAATTTCCTTCTTTTCTCCTATTCTTTTATATAATTTTTTTGTTTTAAATAGAAGATTTTTCATTGATCATTATTCATACGCAATACATATCTGCTGTCGATTACATTAAGGACAGCCAGTACTATCTTTTTAAAAAATTGGATTTCGTTATGTTCTTAAAAAGAATAAAAAATATTATCTTCAGTGCCGCACAGAAAATAAATGCAAAGAGTATAAATAACTCTTAAAAGTATTTTTACCGCGACCGAAAGATATGGTTTTCAAAGAAATTGAGTTTCCGCAGTTCACAGTGTATGTAACTGCATTAAACGAAGCTCATAGTGAAAAAAATTAATTTTATCATTTTTTAAAATTGATAGTCATAAAACCTATCGATTTTTCTGATTATGCTTTGCAAATGTATGGGAAATGATGCAGAATCGTAAAAAAAATGGAAAATCAAATTAATGATACATGTATGTTATTAAAATTCCCTGAATTCTCTTTATGAATGTTATGCATATACCAAAGTTAATAATCGGCAAAAATCCTGAAAGAAAAATCGAACCGCAAAGTGACAGGATGTCATTAAAAAAATGTGGTATATGAAAAAAAAAATAAAGTCTTTACTTAGAACAATATTCTAAATGCCTTTTAGAAAAATCTTAGATGATTTAAATACAAAATTTTCAAATAGACATAGTGCCATAAATTTGTGCATACAATTGTCAAAAATATTTGTGAGAAATAAAGCAGAAAATCACTGAAGTAATATGTTTTAAAATGAACGACATTCGATACAAAAAGAGAGTTGAAGACTCCTTAATTTTGAAAAAATAAGAAAATGAAAAACGTATGCGTATCGAAAAATACGAATATCGCGATATGAGTACGTATGGAGTAACAACAGAGTCGTGTAAAAATACACTACTCCTTGTTGATATAGGGTTTTGTAAAATAAAAGAAAGAAAACTTTCGTACAAAAATAGATGTCTGCATTTTCTATCAAATGCTATAAAAGGGAAAAAATAGAAACGGTATCTCTACTTTGTTTTCAATACGCTAACAAGATATAAAGCTGTCAGTATATAATTTAGTTATTCTTCAAAGACAAATGTTAAGTTACATAATTAAATATAGAATGCTTATATAATATAAGTTATATTATAAATATAAAAGATATGATTAAAATAAAATCTGCAGTTTTTTACATCTAAAAATTCAAATACTGAATTTTTCTAAAGTCGAAGGAATATACCTAAAGTACCATAAAATTAATTTTAATCATATTCAGTAGAACTATTTTTCAATTATAAACAATAACTGCATTTATCACCGAAATATTTTATTTTCCTTTTTATTTTAAAAAGTCAACTTAAAACAAATAAAATATTCTTAATTAAAGTATATTCAAATAATAATAATAAGTATCGAAACATGTAGTTGTTTATTCAACGGAACAATAATTGTTGAAGTGTGCGATATCGGCTAAAAGAATGTAACAATTTTTACGGCCTTCGACCTAGTCGTGTAAATAAAATGAATTAAAAAGTCAAGAACAGACAGAATATCACAATAGCGTGGCATCGTTAAACACAAATTTTATATTGAAGAATTTAAAGAAAAAACATCAAATAAATTCATTAAGAACTAAGTTTTTCATTTTTTATACCTACCATTATAAAAAATGTTCTTGAAAGGCACTATCTATTAATAGTAATTATAAATAAATGATTTATATAAATTTAGTTTTTAATTATTGTTTAATGTAATACGAAATGAACAATTTTTTTAATTTACATATTACATCTAATATTTACAGATGCTTATAAATATAGCAATTAACCAAATATATTATTTAATTAGGTCGTTTACAATTGCAAATTTTTTTAAGGTGATGTTTTATATTATTTAATACATTAAAATTGTTAATGACACGCATTTTATTGTTTTTTTACAGTATTCTTAATTTGTAACAAGCATTTGCATTTGATTTTTCCAAGTGAATTATACATTTTACAATAATATTTACATATTTATTTTCAATGCAATTCATTATAGAATAATATAAAAAGTTGCGTGCATGCAAATGCATTTGAATACGTTCATTTTATTACAATACATACAAAACTACCTACACAAAACATAACTTTCTCATCAAATTCTTCATAATGTACTTAAATATTTGTTAATTTGCAAAGCAAATAAGTTTTTTTTTTTAATTTTCAAAAAAGATGCTGAATACTAATTTTGATTCTGCGACCTGTACCAATCAACTAAACGATAGATCAATTTTAAGAAAACATTTAATAAAATTTATTCGCACTTGAGATATCTAATCAAAAACATTAGTATACCATGTCGTATAATAAAGGTTAATATTGAATATTTCCTAATAATTATAATTAATACATTGATTCTGTTTCAATTTCACTATCTGATAATTTTTTCCTAAATTTGAAACAATTTAATTTACAACAACTTTCAGTTCTATCAAATGGAACATTCGATTTCTTTTTCCATTTATTTTTATTATATTTTTTCGAATTTAAATTTCCATTCAAGTTCAAAGTATATAAGCTATATTTCTAGAACTACAAGAACAATATTCTTCAATATGGTATATTTTTTATAACATCTTTGATATATTTATTTAAAAATTGAATACATTTTTTTATTGGATTCTACTCGCTATTATATATCCTATGAATAGTTAAAAGATTTATTGTTTTTAATGAAATGATTTCAAGATGTATACTCTTGGTAAATATTTATTTTTTCTGCGATACGAATAAGATATATCCACCAATCTAACAATATAATTTCATAAAATAAAACGTTTTTAGTTTCATTATATTTATTAATTAGATTAATTTTATTCTTTTTGTATTAAAATTGTATAGTCTATTGAAATATATAAATCACGGACATTAAATTAATTCAAGACATTTCATATATTATAGCTATATTTAACTCTTGAACAAAATTATTTTAAGTACTTACTTTTTTTCAATACTTTCCATGTTCAAGATATATGTTAATATATATATTTTATAAATAAATACTTTTTATACGAAACTTTATTTAAAAATTAATGTTATTAATTTAATTATATAAGTTTGGTATTTAAATAAATTTTTAAATAAAAAATCTATATTATTAAATTTTTGTTAAAGTCGATATAGTTTAATTAATATCTATTAGTACTCAAAAATCCAATTGTGTAATACATGTTATATAATACATGTTAATATAATAGATTTAATACTTATAAAAAATACTATTAATTCATAGTTAAAAATTTAATTTTGCAGCAAAAGTAAACTTCAAATAATGACTGTAAATTATATATATATATATATATATATATACATAATAATTATAGTTGGCAAATAAAAACTATAAGTTATACGATATAAAAAAAATTATTGGAGATTTCAAGAAATTATAAAGATTAAGTGATATAAATTAATGTTTTTATATAAGTGAGATAATGCATTTCGTCTATGGCTTACACAACCAACGATTTCCGAAGTTATAACGAACTATTTTTGTATATTTGCAGGGGTCCATATAAATGTAAATATACAGAGCATATATAAAACATGCAAATATCTCATTGCTTTTCACATTCATTGATATAAAAAAACCATTTCTTTATAAATAAACAATTAACGATTAAATATAAGAAATAAAGATTATTATAATTTTTGTTACTTTTAATCTAATTTCGTCATATTTTGTTATAATATTTAAATTATTATTTAAAATGTTTAATATTTATTAATTTGTATTTGCTTAAATGTACTTGATAATTACTTAAATAATATGTAGTATTAATTAACAGTACGATTACAATAAATATTTAAGTGACGCAAATTTTATGTAAGTATAAATACTTTTAATTACACGATTTTTTGGTTAAATATTTATTTTTATTAAAATATAAATTTATATGTCAGTTTTAATTCATCACAATCATATAATTTATTATTATAAATAAAAGGAAATAATAACTCAACAAATTCTTTATTTAATTAAAATTTTATCCTGTAATTATCATAGAACAAAAAGATCTTAAAAATATCAATAAAAAATACACTAACATTTTATATACCTAAAATTATCTGTCCTAACTTAGCCTCCTATAATGCAGCAGATTAACTCTAACTATAAATGATTATAAGAATGGTCAGTGCCTATTATATTGAAAACAGAAATATTAATAAATATCTTGTTAACAAGATGATGTATAGAATATTAATTGTATTTTTATTCATTTAAAAAAATTTTTTAACTAATTGTTTTCAAAATTAAAGGTTAAAGTTTTGAATGACAATCTTTCATAACTTTATACTTTAAAGGTACACGATTAATATCGAATTGTATGTATCAATACTGATTAATATAAAAATTCTTTCTCTTTGCTTTAATTTTAAACGATTATATATTTTGTTATAAATTTATTCAAATGAAGCAATTATAATGATTATACAATAAAAATACTTATCAAATTCCAAATATCATTTGTGTAAATATTTGTATTAATAAAATGAAAATATACAACTCATTTTATGAAGTATATTATAGAGATTTTACGATTGAATATTTTTCGTTATTCGTGTTCTTTCCGTTTATTTCATTGTTTTATGTCTTATAAACACATTATCACAGAACACAAAAATTAAATTATAAAACAATATTAGTTATTCGTGTTTAGACGCCATCTTAGTTAAATATAAAAAATTATTGTTTGAACAGCATAAGGTCAATGACAGTTTTAAGAATTTTCTCTAAAAAATAATAGTTCTCTCAATTATTTATATCCTTTCATTTTTTTGCCATGAGGTAATCAATGTACTATCATCAAATCAATAATAAAAGGGGTTCATCTGAGAATTTTGTAGTATAACTATAACACTTCTGTCTCATTAAGTAAATTAAAATAACTTCCCTTAATTTTTATTGAAAATAAATGCTGAATTCTTAGTTTTTTAATAATCAAATAATTAAATATTACTCAGAAAATTGAAAAAACCTACACTTATATCTCCAATAAATTGAATTTTAAAAAAATTTTACCTAACATGGTAGATTGTCTTGGCATTTTCAAAAGTTACAAAATGTCTTATTTTCAATATGCAAACACTCATTGAAATGCACAATACCAATTAACATTCATTTACTGAGTTCATGATCATAACTATTTATACATTTAACAGATCAAGGCAAAAATACAAATTAGTTGACAAATTGTAAAATTATTAGTTAATAATTTTTTTGATAATATATATTAAATATTGAATACTATTTTTTTACTAATAATAACGGATTGGATATTACAAAACTATCAATACTATTCTGTAATTTCAACTGAACCAACAATTACAATTACAAAACGTACATAGATATTAAGTTTCCACAATTAAATAAATGATCATTATTTATATACAGGAATCTTGTTTGGTACTTTCACAAATTTTAGTACATATTTCATTAAATAAACAAATTATTAATAAAAATATATACAATGCAAACATTTTATACTTTACTTAATTACTTGTTTTAAAACAAAAACAAATATCAAGATTATAAAATTATTATTAATATTATTGTGTAACTGCATATTACTTATAATTATTTATAATTATTAATTTGTACAAAAGGCTGCCTCAAATTCTTGATCTGATATCTATAAGAAAATTATTGATTAAAATTGTACCTAAAATTATTAAAAAAATTAATCAAAAGTTAAAATTTACCTTTTTTCTTTTTAATTTTTTTATCAGTGCTATGTCTTTTACCAAATCTTTTAAATCTTCTTCAGTTGTAACAATTTTACGCTTTTTACTATTTTTCTTTTCATTCTTTATTTTTTGACTATTTTTTTTTTCTTTACGTTGATTTTTTTTTAATTGTCTTTCAGATTTACTCTTTTTAGATTTAGACCATGCTTCTGTATTTTTAAATCTTTTTTTTTCCTTTTCAAACCAAATACCTGTATCTTGATATTTTTTTAATTTTAGTAACCTGACAAATTCTCTTTGTTTATTTTTATATGAAATGGAATTTACATCAACATTAGCTGATTGAAAATTTAATAAATCTCGCCCTTTCAATTCAGGCATTCGTGGTATTTTTAATAATCCAAATCCCATAAATACTTTTCCTAAATCTAAATCCTTTATTCGAAAAATTAAACTACACTCATGCTTTTGATAGGCTTGAATATATGAAACTGCAGCTCGATTTGCTTTATCAAATAAGAGTCTGTCTGCTTGTTGCAAGTTCCTCATATACTGTAAACATTCTTCTATTAAAGTTTTTTCAATTTTGAATTTTAATAATTTCAATTCAACTTTCTGATTTCTCTTTATAAAATCAATATAAGCATCTTCAGATTCAGAGAGCAGTAGCAAAGCATTACCTGCATGTCCTATTCTTGCAGTTCGGCCACATCTAAAATAAATATCAGTTTATCATGCTATTCATAATAATTAATAATAAATTTTGTATTGAATTGAGGACCTGTGAACAAAACTACTTGCAGTACTTGGTGGATCATATTGTATGACCCAATCAACTTCAGGAATATCGATTCCACGGGCCATTACATCTGTACATATTAATAAACCACTTTCAAGAATTTGAAACTCTTCAAAAACTTTATGTCTCTTCTTTTTCATTTTACCATGTAAAGCTAAAACTTTTATAGGTGCTAGTAAACTTAAAATAAAAATTTTCATTTTCATTATTGTTTAAATTATATAGTGTTATATAAATCATGATTTTACTTACATCTTTATAACACTACTAAAATAATCTACACATGCACAAGTAGAAAAGAAGATCATATATTTTAAATTAATTTTGTTATTTTTTATAAAATTGATTATAAATGCAAGTTTTTTATCTGCATCAGTTATTGCATAATAGTTATATAAATGTAAAGGAGTTGAATAACTTTCTGTTTCCTTTATGGATACAAAAGATGGATTTCTCAAACCAGCTCTTACTAACTGTTCCAATTCTTTAGTTTGTGTTGCAGAAAATAATCCTGTTCTTCGCAAACGTGGTAGACAGCTTAGTATTGTATTAATCTTTACAGAAAATCCTAAATCTAATAGTCTGTCAGCTTCATCTAAAACTAACAGCTCCTAAATAAAGAATAAATTTTTAAAAAATACTAAAAATTAAAATATATTTTTAAATACAAATAAATAATTACTAAAGATTTAATAGCTGCTGATAAATTAATTTCTTTACAATTACTTAAGAGATCTTCTAATCGTCCTGGTGTAGCTATAATAATATTTGCACCAATTCTTAATTGAGCAATATCTTCTTTAACTGTTAATCCTCCTACTATCAATATTTGTTTTAAATTTGATATTCTCTTGAGAAATTGTGATAATATCTTACTAATTTGTATTGCTAACTCTCTTGTTGGTGAAATTATAATTGCTCCTATTTCAAATTTTTTCCATTTTTCTGGTCTTTTCTATATAAAATTATACATCACTTTTAAAAACATAAAATATAAAAATTATGCAACATTATCTTTCAGTAACTATTTACCTATATATTATAAATTAAATATATTATAAAGCAAAATAATTATAAAAAATAGAATTAAAAATATAATTTAGAAATGTTCATGAATGCAATTACCAGTAACAATTCTAATAGTGGTATGAGAAAAGCAAGAGTTTTTCCACTTCCAGTCACAGCTTCAACAGCAACATCATTTCCTTGTAGCAAAAGTGGAATGCAAGCAGCCTAATATTGTATTTCATAATATGTGTGAGTGTGTGTGTGTGTGCATTTGTAAATTTCAATATTTTATTATTTTAATATTAATATATAAATAATAATTCAAATTAATACTTGTACTGCGGTCGCCTCGTAAAATTTTAACTCATCTAAGGTTTCCAAAACGGGATCGCTTAATTTTATATTTAAATTTCTCCACTTTTGTAAAGTCATAATAAAAATATATAAGTTTTTAATAATTTACACGATTGTAAATTGAGGTTATTTTAATTGAAATTCTTGATTGTGTAAACAATAATAGCTTTGGGCAAGTTTGCATGCTTTCATCTAGTATGGGTTTTGAGGACTAACTGAGGTAACATAAAAATTAAATATAAATATTGAATTTTTAAAATAAAAAATTTGAAACTTTTTAATAAAAATATATAAAATACATATGTAAATGATAATTCATTTTTATTTACTTTTTTATTGAAAATGTAAACTATATAAATATTTATATAAAATTAATATAAAAATTGATATAATTATGTAATTCATATAAAGTTTATATAATATAGATTGAATTAAGTTTTTCTTTACATTGAAATAAAAAATATTTTAAACACATCTGATGCATCGATATGCATAAACATTATTCTATGCAAATTAATTAGTTCACACTTTGTTCTTGTAATATATATATATATATATACAATACGTTAGTCACAATCTGTAGTAAATATAAAATAACTTATTGTAAATTAATAGGATCTTATAATTTAAATGTAAATAAAATAAGTGTACACGTTAAAAGTATTGCAGGAAGATTGTTAAAATATTTATTATAATATTACATTGATCCACTTCATTCAATTCGTGTTATAAAAAATATTTATATTTGATTATTTTTGAATATTTTTTACTACAGCTTTGACAATGCCTAAGAAATAAGATAAAATTTATCAATTTAACGAGATTCTTTACATTTATAACGGCCAATCAGAAACCTGTACTACATGTGTGAACATAACCTAAATATAAAATTAATAAAATTAAGTGCAAGGCAAAATAAAATAATTAGATATATTTTACAATAACTTACATATGTAATTTTGACCATCATTTTTAATTTTAAATACTTTTATAATTTAATGTGTAGTAAAAATCATTGCTTCTATGATCATAAATCTATTAAATAGCCATATCCATTTAAATTTAGATTATTTGATTTAATTAATTCAGTAATTATATTTAAAAAGATAAGGCATGTTAAGTTGCAATTTTTTCAATTAAATTATAAAACACTCAACGTATTAAAGATAGTTTCATTTTTTAGCTGTACAGAATTAGTCAGCCAAAGGAAATGTGGTACTATAAAATTGTGTGTGCTAAATAATTCATGTTGATTGGTCCTTGAAATATATATATATAGAAGTGCTGGCATGCACAAAGCAGACAACTAAAATTCCTAGTATAAAACTGTTTTATATTCTATTTTAGTTAAATAAAATAATTATTGAAGATTCTATATCAAATGTCTAAAATTTAAACATTAAAAATTATATTCTTTAGTACTAAATAATAAATACTAAAAAATAACGTGTTTATAATTTCTTGAGATTTCTTTTATAAAATAGTGTTATTTAAACTTTTTGAACATAATTTTAATCTTACAAATCTGTAATAACTAGTGTATTAAAAAACATAATTTTTTAAAATATGAAAAATCAAGACGATAAACCAAAGTGGTTATTAGTTGTATTAAAATATGAAAAATCAAGACGATAAACCAAAGTGGTTATTAGAATTAGAAAGTAGAAAACATAAGGTATTGATTTTTATTTTATTTTTAACATACATGTAACTACAATATTAGCTGTATTGTTTGTTATATTATTAATATTATATAATAAAAGATATAAATTATTGATGATACCATTTATAAATTTACTTATAAAATATTTAACAATTTCTATTAATTATTAATATAAAATTATTGATTTTTATAAATATTGGCTTTTAAAAATTTAGATATACTGTTATTTTAATATGTAAAATTTGTTATATCTGTTTGTTATAATATAGCCTAGATTAGCTCATGAAACCGGAGCAGGTGCTTCTTGTTTAAATTGTAAATTAATATGCCCTGGGTTAGATTTGCATTTTTGGAGAAAAATATGTAAAAATTGTAAGTGCAGAGGAGATGATCATGACATTGATGATTATGAGTTTCCACAGTTTAAAATAATTTTTGGATTAAACAGAAAAGAAAAGAATAATCAATTTGTATGTAAGTAGTAATAATTATAAATAATTCCTATATCTTTTTAAAATCGACATGAATATTTCTTTTCAGTATTGCAAGTAAATGATATAAAAGAACTACAGTCCCAAACTTCATTTGATTGGATTCCACCTGATACAACAAAAGAGTTAGCTGCAGATTATATGAAAGCTCTACCACTTGAAAAATTACCAATTAAAGGTTCAGCTGGTGCTGTTTTAAGAAGACAACAACTCCAAAAACAATTGCCTTTGCACGATATTGATTACAAAACTTGCGATGAACTTAGTGAACAAGAAAGAAAGGAGTTTAAGAAATATTTGGATAATTTAAAAAATTGTGCAGGTCAAGGAAAAGTTGCCAAGGTATTTATTCCTTATTAATTCTTTTAAAAAATTATTTTAGATGATAACTCCATGTATTATCAATAATATTTGATAGTATTTAAAATTATTTCGTATTTATTATATATTAAATAATTTTAACAAAAATACATATATGTACATCAGTATTAGAAATATATATATTTAAATATTTTAAAGAAATAATTTATGTAAAAGATAAATATTTAAGTGAATATTTATGTTAGTAATTAAATGTTTATTATATAATAAATAATATATAATAAAATGTTTATTGTTAATGATTATTTCAGATTTTAAATATCAATCTAATATTAGCACATAATTTTTATTTTTCAGCTGACAAATATACAACCTTTTAATCAATCTTTGATGACTCCAGTCAATGCAACTGATGTGCAACAATTTAGTCCTCAAGATAATGAACATTTATCCAATCTAAATAGCATATTAAATCTTCGTACACCAAGCAATTTCATTTCAAAAATGCTTCAAACGCATTCAAAATCTAATGTACCATTTATATTTAGCAATGATAATATTCTGCTAACTTCTAATATAGAAAGAAAAGAAGCACCATATTTACAAGCTAACAATAAAGTTCGTTCTCAATTAGGACAATATAACTATTCGTTGCCAAATATTTCAAATCATAGTAATTTCGCTGAAGCAATCAATATATCAAGAGATTATTCTTTACAAGCCAATATAACAAATGCTAATAATAAAAAAACATATCTTTCAAAAGAGAATAAATCATGTTATGAATTGAAATATTCCAAAAATCCAAATTCTTTTGTAAATGAAGAATATGCGAAATATAAAGCTCATAAGGCTTCAAAACCCATTTTAAGTGATTCAAGAACACAGGTTGAAAATTCAAGTTGTCAAAGTGAACAAAATTTTAAAATTTTAAGTAACTTAAGCTCTAATACTTTATTTACTAAACAAATACTTTCAGAAGCTCTTTTATCACCAAGTTCTGTAAATACTAGTAATATCGTTGGTAGTAGCTTAGATGAAAAAGATTTAATGTATATTCGTGAAAAACCCAGTAGTAAATATAGCAATAAAAATGATTATCAGAATGCAGTAGTTTCAAGAGAATTAGAACATATAAGGTAAAATAAAAATTATATTTTAATATAAATAATGTATGGTACTTTTTAAATTGTATTTTTTTAAAAAAGGTAAACCAATTTTACTTATTTTATTTTAGTCATCCTTCGTTCGTTTTAAATTCTGAACAAATAATGAAAGATTTTTATCAAATCAAACCTTTTGAAAATAAACCTACGGGTTTGAATGAAAGTAATAAAAATGAATTTTCTTCACAATTATTGCCTAAGCCATTGGATCACCTTCAAGCTCAACTTAGTATTTCTTCGCTCCCACAGTCAAGTGTAATATATTCTGAAATTTTAAATAATCCTATCTTTCCAGAAACAGCATGTAGCGCCTCAAATACTTGTCAAAATCCAGAGAATAGTGAGAAATTATCAGAAAAAATGGAAGGATTGACAATGCATGATGATAAGTTAAATCAATGTTATAAATGTGAAGAAGTTATACATTCTGGAAATGTTATTGTCACAGCAGATAAAATTAAGGATGCAGTGTGGCATCCAGGTTGCTTTGTATGCTCTACATGCAATGAACTTCTTGTGGATTTAGTTTATTTTATTTACAAAGGTAAATTATATTGTGGAAGAGATCTTGCAAATCATTTAGAAATGCCAAGATGTTTTGCCTGCGATGAGGTAATTTTATAATAATTATTAGTGCATCTAAAATATTTTTATAATTTAAAAATAATCTTGTAATTTAATTCTAAACTAGCTCATATTTGTTCGAGAATATACAGTAGCTGAAAATCATAATTATCATGTGAAACATTTTTGTTGTTGGGATTGTGATATCCCATTAGCTGGAAAACAATATATTTCAGAAAATGATAGACCTCTTTGTTTACCTTGTTATCAAAAAAATTATGCTAAAACTTGTAATACGTGCAATAACATTATTGCTGCTAATCAACAAGGAGTGACAATAAAAAACCTTAATTTTCATGCAACAGATTATTGTTTTTGTTGTTTTATATGTAAAAAAAGCCTTTTAGGAGGTCAAATAGCTGTAAAAAGAAATAAGCCTCTCTGTAGTAAAAATTGCATTACAAAACTTTTACTCTAAATAACTAAGATGATGAAATGTAAAATTAAGAACTAATATATTTTTAAATAAATTTATATTTTTATATTTTTTAATAAACAATTATTGGATGTATACAAACTAAGATATATAATAATTTATAATTGAAGCCTCTTTATATTTTCAAATATGTATAGTAAATTATAAGAATATATTTAAATATAAAATTATTTAGTAAATCATGTGTTATTCAGAGTCACTATCAATAATTGCCTTGATTCTTTTAAATGAAGAACAACATTTTTTATTTGGAGATGCAGAAACTTCTGATTCAATGATGAATTTTCGTGTATTGTTACCTCGAGCACTACGAGCTATTTAAATTAATTAATTATATCTTAAATATAAATATTAATTATAAATTTTAATTTAAAAAAACTTACTTTCTGAAATAATACTTTTTGTATTCAATTCCTCAATTTCTTTCATAGTATAATTTTTTATTCGAAGTTTTTTACACTTTTCTAAAGTTGGTCTTCCTACCATACCATGTTCTTCTAAGAATTTATATAGATATTTTATTTTAGAAGTATCTGTTTTATAATCTTTGAGTAAGGCTTGATAACAATGAACCTTAATTCCAGCAGTCTGAATCAATTTTTTTAATTTATCTATCATCTTATTTTTAAATTGCTAAAAAAATTTTGCCCGTAGAAGTAATCAATTAAAGTAAATGTAGACAATAATTAATAAAAACTACAAAATTGTACATACTTCATTTGTTTAGAAAAATTTAATAGCATAATTTTATTAAAATTTTATAATTGTTAATTAAATTTATTGAAAATACGTAAATAATAGAAGTTAATAAATCTGTAATTAACAATAATTATTTTTATTTAATATAAATATAATATAAATATAGTTAAAAATTTGTTTAATTTATAGCTCTTTTACAAAGATTTTAAATCTTATGGGACATATGAAGATTTATTTTGATAATCATTGAAAAACACACAATAAATTAAAAAATACATTATTTTAAATTAAAATATATATATATTCACTGTCTGTTAAAAGAAATATAAACATTACTTTTTGTAATAAAAAAAATAAAATACTGAACTCTGAAATATTATATTGTATGTTATATTTTTATAAAATAATACATCTCAAAACTGGTAAAATCTCAAAAAGTATTAGAAAATATTTCTACATTTGTAATAATCAGTCTTTTGAGTTTAAAGAATAATATGAAAACTTACACTGGACTTTTTTGTTTTTATATTTTTAATGTTATAGTATTCATTAAATGTTTCTTTTCCAGAACTTTCATTCTTTGATTCATCCGTATTATTTGAAATTGTTACTTGTACAAGATTTTTATCTGCTTTTTCATCAAACTTTGGATCAATATTTAATTTGAAAGATTCTTTTATATGTTCCTTTTTATGATCTAATAATTCGTTCAATATTTTCCTAATTTTTGGTGGTCTACCACGAGGACGACCTCTACCTCTTTTTGTTTCTGTAGCTTTTATATATTTTTTTGGACTAAATTTTTTAATTCTTTTTCTTGTAATAGGGCTATAGTCCTCATCATCAGAATTTGATTTTATGCTGTTTTCAGATTCAGAAACTATTGCTTTATAGAGTACAGATTTCTTTCTATTTCTTCTCTTTATTTTATTTTCAACAGTACCCTTACTGAAATCTGCATTTATTTTTGATTTTGATTCTATAATATTGTATGAATCCGATTTTTCTGTTTCAGATAAACTTACATCAACTTCAGAAGCATTTGGTTTTTCTCTAATTATTATGGTTTTTGATCTTGATTTTGAATTTTCTTCTCTTTCACTTACTTCGCTAATTTCTTCATCACTTGCACATTCAACAATTAACTCTATGCCATTTATAATTTCAGTATTACTATTTTTAAAACTTTTTGTCAATGTTTCATTTTCTAATTCATTTACATAATCATTTAAATTTTCTTTTGTTGCTTTAATAATCTATTTAAAAATGTTAAATTAATGTGTTTCTTTATTATTTCAATGTTTTATGAATTATAAGAAATAACAACTTACAATAAAATAAAATTATTTTATTTCTCAATATATTTAGTTATTTATAAATGATATAAATATTCATATAATAATTGTTATATATGAATATATAACAAGAGTTCAAATGTAATACAAGATATCAATATTATTATATTTTTAAAGAGCTACTAAAAAATTAATTTGATTATTAATAATTATAAAAATCTTAAACTTTTGTAATTACTAAAAAGCTATAAGAGAATAAAATGTAATTATCTACTTCACATTAAAAATAAGCATAACACATTTTCTTTTATTTTGTGCTTGTATAGCTAATAATATTAATTTTCATAAGTTTAAAAATTGTAAATCAATAATTAAATTATTGTCAGACTTTACAATATATTTATATTACTATTATTTTATAAAAAGCCTAATCTTATATTTTTTCCTTTTTAATAAAAATATATAATTTACACAGAATGATAATTAAATATTAAAGTGTATTATTGAACTTCTAATTATTTTCTATTTTATATTATTTAAGAAAACAATACAATAAAATTCAATAACCATTATCTTGACAATGCATATACATTAAAATATAATAAAAATAAAAATAATTATATTCAATAATTCTAAAAATAATATACTCCACAACTTTTTTAATTCTATAAATACTTCACAAAATGTAAACAGTATTTACTTATAATAAAAAATTTTTTAGTAAAAATTATCTCACTATTTTATCTTCTTTGTTTTTATTCTGCATTTTTTTAATTATATTTTCAGTACATTCTATTTTAATTTCACCTTCTGTATATTTTTCTATCAATTTTCTATCTATTGTGTTATAATTTATATTTTCATTATCATTTTTTTTTTTTTTAATTAAGTTATTTCCTTTATTAATTACAGCACTTAAAATATTAGTATTTATATTTATTTGGCCATAATTTTCTAAAACTTCTAATTCTGTTTCTTTCATCTCTAAATCATTTTTAACCTTATTCACTATATTTATATTATCATTTGTTTTATTTATACCATTATCAATACTATTTGAATAAGATTGACTTAAATCTGGTTTTTCTTCATCAATTATTACATTTTTCATACAAGTTTTTTCGTACTGTAAATTTATATCGAATAATTCATGTCTAGGACATTTATTATAAACTTCATTTAATATAGTATTATTTTGGAATTTTTTTAGAAATATTCTCTCATCTTCATATTGATCCGATTCAACCATTATTAATTTAATATAAATGATCTAAAAATAAAAACTTTATAAATAATAAATATCTAAAATCTATTTTTATATATATCAATTATTTTGATAAAAAATATAAATCAATTTGTAATACATGAAACTTCACATTAATAGAAATAAAAAGAAAATAAAATCGGAAAAATAAATAAGTATTTTACAAAGGTATTAGTGAATTAGTATTTCTTTTCAATAAATAAATTTTTAAAGCAGTTTGATAAATTATTATACTATAATAATTAGTTCTGAAACTTTTACGAATTACATCAAAATAATATTACAAATTTGATAACTGATAAAGTAATAAAAATTAATTGAAAATCACTTTCCAAGATAGTTTAATATTAATCATTAAATTAAATTTGTACAAATTACAGAAATATTTTGAATATTATAAAATACATACAAATGCAAAATAGATATCAATATTTCTATCTATTTTTAATTCAGGTAATTTTACATTTTAATTAGAATACTGTTTTTCACCTCGTTACACCGCGTATTTATAATTATAAATAAAACAGTGAATCAAACAATTCATTGTTTAAATTACAAAATACTTAATTATCTGGAATAAAAGAATGTGTGACGTACCGTTGATATTATTGCTAAAAATGTCATACATAATAATTAAGAAGACAAAATGCAATACTTTTTACTATTTACAGCTACTTTTAAAATCAGCGACAGATAACTGCTTACCTGATGAACGTCTTGAACTTAACGCACATCTAATTCTTATATTGACACCAATTATGAATTTTTTACTTGTAACCAGGAACACCTACACGCTGCCTGTATGCTGATGAAATGATGATTAAGCAATAAAACCAAGTAATTTTACTAAAAACAACGTTTCTTTTTATATTTATCACACCTACACAGAATATATCCTCCTTATATTTAAATAATTATATTTATTCAATCTATCTATTCATTGGTCACTTTTTATTTTATGACGCAACAGTTATGCTGTATTCTATATACTACAGTGTAAAATAATTATTACAATCATTAAGATAGGAAGCGCCATATCCAAACCCGCATTTTCCAAAAATTTTTATTAAATATATCAATAAAATTCTTTGCTTATGAACTCAATATACAAATCAAATTTTCATAAAAAAATATTGAAATATATTTCTATTCTAATTTTGGTTTCACGACTAAAATTTTAGAATTTATAACAGGATTCGAATTCTATCATCTTCTATTAGTACTTTCAATATATTAAAAATCTGGTAATAATCATAATTATTTACAGTGTACAGATACACGAACATGTATAATTTTTCGCAATTATGGTTAATTTTCAGTATTTTGATAAATTTAAGACTTACTGTCTATCTAAGTAAAATTGCATACTACGTTAATTACGAAAATTAATATTATGTAAGGGCTTATGTTCTATCTTTTCAAACTCGTAGCGATAACAAGCTTTTTCTTTTGTAGTAATTAGATGGTATAATGATTAAATTATAAACTTTAATAGTTTAGATTCGTCTTTTATAATAGTGTAGAAATGTACCCAATTATAAATGCATTTGCGAATGGCAGAATTTTTTACGCCTCACTATATTATTAAACAAAGAAAATACATCTAGATTATACATATAGATTTTCAATTTGATTCAATTAACTGTTGACAACAAATTAAAAATGTTTATATTGCAATAATCAATGGAAACTTATTAAAACCCATAATCAGTTTTTAAAAGATAATTATCAAAATCAGTATTTAATGTAATCATTGGATATTTCAAAAAAATTTGTATAAGTAGTATTTATCATGAAAAAGGAGAATCTTATATAAAGTTAAATCATACTTTTATATATTTTAATATATATTTTAATGTTGAGCAATAATTTAAAATTGAGCATCCATTGTTTATAATTCTACCAATATCGTTTTTCAAAAAATTAATATTGATTACATCATATTCCATTTTTATTGTTTCGTTATTATAAATTATTATTTATAATAACAACTTATTTTAAAAATAACTTTATAAACCTATCCACAAGAACATTATTATAACTTTATAAAAGAATTATTTATCAAATAAAAAAATGAATAAATTACTATAAATGTAAAGGCATGCAAACGTAATAGTAATCTACACAAAATTAAAAAAAAATTAAATAATATATTATAATTTTATAAAATATATTTCATTATTACGAAATCGTATTAAACACAATTAACAGATAAAGAATGAAGGGTAGCATTTTTTTGACAAAATCATGAATTACAATGAAAATAAAACAAATATAGAGAATTAAAATAAGTATTGAGAAATATTTGTATCACTGAAAATATTTAATAGTTAAATTTAAAAGAATTTTAGTTAAATCCTTCATTTATTTAATGTCTTTTTATTTCATATATATCAACAGATCTTAATCTATTCTAACATTTAATTTTATATATTTACTTTCCTGGAATTATATGAGTTTTTTATAAATAATCCATATTTATGGTGTAACTATTCACAACTATTTTCATGCACAGTTATGCAATAATATAAATAACTATCATATAACTAAATATTATGTTGTATGAAAATATAACAAAATGTACCACTTGTATATCATTACTAATTCAAAAAAGATTTTTTGAAAACAATTATTGTCTTTTAAGATATTAGTTTTCTTAAATTGAGGAAGAGTAACGATTGATTTTTTTAAGCAGTAGATTAATTTTTGAAAATTTCAATAAGGATATTCATGAATTTATGTATTAATATTATCATCTTAACAATAACATTAATATTTTGTTCCAAAATTAATAATTTTAAAAAATTGCCGTTTTTAAGGACGTTATTAATGTATGCATTTACAATAATCTAAAGTTTTAAAAATTAGTAATTACAATATGCATATTTTGCCTCTTTATTAAAACTAGATATAGTTAAAAGAATTTATATTTTCAAATGTAATTAGAAATATATTAATATTTTTTCATTTTGAAAAATCGAGTATGAACAGCATTGATACATTATTTTTCAGTCTAAACAATATCAACAAATTTATTTAAAAAATTAAAAATTTATAAACATCCCATCTTTAAATAAATTTAATAATAAAAATATACTTTTCAAATACTTTTCTCGTAGATCAAAAGAATATATAATAATGTAATATTCATTTATGTCAACAAATATATACGTATATTACACAAATATTTCTCTTTTATTCAATAGAAAAACAATTTTTTAATTGTTTATTAATTATGTAAGTTTCAAATTTTATTCTATTTCTTAAAAATATAAATTTGAATACATTTTATAATTTAAATTTAAAAATATCGTATTATTTATTTATATTTATAATTTATATTTGTATATTTTGCTTTTCGATATTAATAATCAATTTGTTCTGTTATATTCAACTACACAAATATGGAAATAACTTTTGTTCGCAACAATGTTATTCGATTATGTTTATATCATTAAATGATACATATAACCATTTTTTGTGTTGTGAGGTTGTATGCAATGTACGCCATTTCATTTTCATTCAGCATACGTCATTAAATTGATAATAATAAGTTTAAGTTTACTTGAGTATACTTCAAATAGGAACACTACTTTCACTGGCTGGCATTGATTCATTCATGAACACATAAATTAAATTATATAGTTGAAGATTATTAGGATATAAATTACTTATATTA